CAGGGTTGGAAGGGACCTTGAAGATCATCTAGGCCAACCCCTGCTCAAGAAGGGGATCCTATACAATTTGAGAAGTGGCTGTCCAGTCTCCTCTTCAAAGCCTCCAATGATGGAGCATCCACAACTTCTGAAGGCAAGCTGTTCTATCTATTAATTGTTCTCACTGTTAATAAATTTTCCTGAGTTCTAGGTTGCTTTTCTCCTTACCTAATTTCCATCCATTGTTTCTAAGAAATGAGTGGCAATCTCTGAACTAGGAGAAAGGCCACAATTCTTGGCATCTCACACAGCTACTTGAAAGCTTGTATCAGATTTGTAAAGGTTTCTGTAATGCCCATGCAAATGATGCTAAATAGTACATCCATTGTAAAACTAGTAAGAAATGATTTTGTTAGCTCCTATTGTCCAGTTTTGGGCAAGGAATCTTTTGATGTCTATTTCCCATACTTAATATGAGGGGAAGGGAAGTGTGGCACAAGTGTATATGCCATCTTACATATATGAGCATAGCTGGGAATTGACTTCTTTTTATTGTTTTCAAACTTGTTAGAATTATTTGAGGGATAACATTGCAGCTTTTGTTTATTTCCTGCCTCAAAATAGTGGGAAAGTATAATATGGAATTTCAACAAGAAAAGGACTAGATTCTATCAAAGTTGTTTTGGGAGCATCCAGACTTTGACACCATACCTGTCCTGTTCTGAACAACTTTCTATCTTCCAGGTGTAAGTCTGGGACCCTGTAATACTTTTTGTGCATTTCTTTGATTTTAAATGTATATTATCACACACATAATTATTTAAGCAATGCCCTATTACATTGTGAAATGATAATTTGCATACCAGATTCTTCTTATAAAAGGAAGAGTCTTCATGCTTTTACCAATTTAAGATTCTTGTACCTTAACATAACATCATTTGCAAAATGTTGCTTTTGTATTTTTAAGATTTTACCATAATTATTTTCACTATTGTCGGTAACATTACAATTTTTGATAATGTTTTATTAAAAAAAGCTGTAGTCACATATTTTGTAGATTGTGAGTTACGTATATTACATGTTTTATTTTTTTTTGCATAAGACATATTTTAATGGATGTTATGTATGCTCATTATTTAATTGAAATGTTAATTAAAATAATGGAAACTTCCACCATTGGTCTTGCTTGTTCCCTATTAGAAATTATAGTATCATTTTATAATTGTCATTGAGATTATTTTGAGAAGGAAGCAACACCAAGGACATGTAATACGTATTTCCAATACTATTTTAATGGTTTCATTGAGATAATAGAAAACTAGAA